TTCATGATTCCATGGGAATTTCCCATGGCATTTACCCTCAGTGGCTAGCACTTTGCGAACTGGAACATCCATCATTGTTCATAGGAATCCATCATTCGCAATGGGATTACCCGGGGTCCCATTCATACAACTTTAATGTAAAATAAGACCATATCAAATGAGTCAAGTGTAAGTTCAAGACATTTCCTGACAATTTATGGCCACCTCACAACCACCTTCTATAATAAATGATGGTGTTTGATGGCAAAAGTGTTAGCGGAATCATCCCCAAAACAGACCAACATATCTGGTTTGGTATGACACATTATTCAAAACCAGAGGTTTTTTTTCGGTGATGTAGAAAAATCTTCCAACTAAGACTGGTCTACATCCCGTAAGTGGATAGAATCGGATAGATCCCAAGATCTCACGGATTAGTCTGGTAACCCTGGTATTTTTTAATGGCACATAAATGGGGTGTACCATCTGGTTATGACTAACAGTTTGCCATGGAAAGATCCACCCATTTTTAATAGGTAACCATCTATTTCTATGGGCCATTTCCCATGGCTATGTTGAATAAGCAGAGGGTATATCCCATTTGTGGTTGCCTCCCATTTGGGCAACACAACTCGCCAGGTGTTCCTGCGCCGAAGTGAGGATGGGGCCATGGATGTGGCAGAATGCCATGGTAAGCTGGGGCCCAAGAAATGGGAAAAGTTTGGTCCAATTGAAAAAGATGCAAGGCTCAAGGATAGGCTTTAAATGGCTTTGATTGTGAATTGGGTGAGGATGATGAGGATGATGAGGTTTTCTACAAGATTTTTCTTGAAAGGCCTGAGTGCAGCGAGTCCCAAGGTTTCCACAAGCACCAGCCATGCCTGAGTCCATGGTCGCCTTGTGCGCGCAGATCTTGAACCTTTGAGTTTGATGGGGAGATCAGGGATGTAAAAAGAGCGGCTTAATATGATACTTGGGCATGTCTGAAAATGGGGCATACCCAAAATGATTTTATTGGGGAGATGAGATGTGGGTATGGATCAATACCTATTAATACCATTTTTAGGGGGATGAACATCCATTTACCAGCTATTTTGATGTTCACCAGGGGTACAAGGTTTTGACACACTGCCATGTGATGACTCGCAACTGGATGGATTGCCTGTTTTCAGAGCCAGCAACATCGGCTGCAAGGGGCTGGAGGACTGACTGCTGCGCGTATTCCCAGGTCTTGCAAACAGCAGCAGTTTCACTCTCGGGACCCACCGGGTCCAAAGTGGTTTATTTCATTTTATTTCTATGTTAAAAGGAACAGAAGAAACCCTCATGGCTGAGGATCATACAAACATACTTGTTGGAAAATAGTCAGACGCACGGTTTCAAAGCTGTTTGTTTTGGAACACAGAAGAAGATGCCAGGAACACAACCTGTTAAACGTGAAATGCAACAGGATGATGAGTTTGCCAGTTGTAAGCTTCACCATGTAAACTATTGAATGCAGCAGAATCAACCAGTCATCCAGCTGATTGTTGCTTGCATCGCCCTTTTCTACAACGAGTCTTTTCGCAATTCGAGGGCAAGAGCCCATTTCTGTTGGAAAGTCCCAACCACTATTCCTATATATACACGTATAATCACGTATATATCATATATATTATTATATACAATATATATATATATATATGTGTATTATCATATATATTATTATTATTATTATTAATTATTATTATTATTAATTATTATTATTATTATTTATTATTATTATTACTATTACTTTATTCTTATTATTATTATTAATTATTATTATTATTTATTATTATTATTATTACTATTACTTTATTCTTATTATTATTATATATATATATTAATATATATATATATGTATTAATATATATATATATATGTATTAATATATATATATGTATTAGTATATATATATATATTCGTATTAATATATATATATATATGTATTATAATATATATTATTATGTGTATATATATATTATCATATATATTGTATATATATATTATATCATATATATATATTATCATGTATATATATATTATCATATATATACATATATATGTATTATATATTATATTACATGTATATATATATACATAGTAGCCTGGTAACCCCCCAAAAAAAGTGTCGAGGTACCAAGCCGCCTTCGATGGCGACGTGGTGCGCCTGGCGGATATCTTGGAGGCCAGGTATCCACAGGCCCTTGTGGTTATCTATATTGAACATGCATTGTGTGACCAGGGCTGTTTTGGTTCTCAGGGAGGTTCGCATATAGAGTGTTGTCTCTCCCTTTACCCTCTGGTAAACAAAATAGCTATCGAAAATGGCCATTTATAGTGAGTTGTCCCATTAAAAATGGTGATGTTCCATAGTTTTTTGTAAACGTTTACCAGAGGGTACATTCCAGAAGGCTCATGGCGCAGGGATCCAGCAAGGGCTCCGCGCATCGGGCGATGGATCCGAAGACCCGCTCCATGAAGGGCTCCATGACCAGCCACACAGCTCAAAAGGTTCATATGCGACACGCTTAAAATTGACATTTACGGACTCTCTTTTGGTTGCCGGCTTACTGATAGTCCTCAGATGTTCAGGAAGGGAACATGATTTGATTAGATATATTAAATTAGGCTTCAAATACAAAATGTCAACATGAATTTCAATGGTTTTCATCTCAATTTTGATGTGGCTTTGGCTTGGACCGTCTGAGGTGTCTGTTCTTCACCTCGGCATTTGGGGCCTGCGAAAGCGCTGTTGTATCCTCCATAAATTTGGAGTATAGAATGTCTATCAATGTCTTAGATTATACAATGCTTTATACCATAGATATGAGATACTGGTTGGTGGTTTGGAATATTTTTCCATAGATTGGGAACAATAATCCCATTTGACTATATCATATTTTTCAGAGGGGTTGAAACCACCAACCAGTATGTATGTATATATATATACTGAATTATAGTGACATATTGTGATCTCTCCATAGTTGCCTGGAGCCACTTTTTGGGTTCCCCAGTGACTGACCGATGTGCTAAATTTGACCCGGAAAAACGGCCTTCGGACCAGTGTGAGGTTTTCTGGAAGATTCTGGAGATTCTGGAAGTAGTTCAAAATTGGAAAGTGGAAAGTGGATGAAAGTGGTAGTTTCATGATGTTTCTGTTTGCTGATATTCTATGATATTCTTTATGAAGCCTCATGCGAGACAAGTCAAGAAAGACGCACAGTCCTGAAACTGATGTCCAGCCTTCAGCATTGAATTGCGGCTGTGTCCATGACTCGGGATGCGTTTTTCTTTTTACACACTCGTATGTCGTATGCAAATTCAAGCACTTTTTGCATCGCCAACTCGTTTTCCATACCTCGCCCGAGTTGATTTTGCTGTTAACAGTTCTACCAGGCTGCCATGGGTTCGCAATTCGCAATTGGATTGCAAGTCCCTGGCTGATTGCTGGTGATCAAACATGATCGCGGCAGAGAGGAAAAGGTTGTTCAACTGCAGTAAACGCTGCCTGGTTGGTGGTTTGGAACATGGCTTTTATTTTTCCATATATTGGGAATTTCATCATCCCAACTGAAGAACTCATATTTTTCAGAGGGATTGAAACCACCAACCAGCTGCCGTTGGCGATTTCAATGTGGTTTCCTCTTAAATGGGGTACCTCATGGTACGTGAAAAAAATCATTCAATTTGTTCGACCATGACTTAGCATTGAAAGCCATGGTGACTTGGGGTACCATTTTAGGAAACCTCCATGTATGCTTTCTATTCATTGTAAGGGTTCCCCAAAGAGAGTTCAAACTGCTGAAACTGTGACGATTGGTGGATGCGGTGAATGTCTGGCTGGTGGCAGTTCAAAATAAAAAGCATGTCCAACTCCATTGAGCAGTGATCAATCGATTCATGTCGATCCTTGTTGATGAGACTTACACTGATGTTATAACATATTATAACTAAATCAAGCTGGTTCGTAACGAGGCTAGTGCATGGTATTGTGGTAGATATATCGAAGCGCTTCATAGTGGTTATAAACCAACATAAACCAGCAATAACCAACAAACAGAACCCACATTGTAGAGAGTTTTACACCTGGTTTCTTTGTCCCACTATGGAAACCCTGATTCACCAACCAGCAAAGGATGGCAAGGTTTTGAACGCTGTTCATTTGGATGTGTCCCGAAATGGAGCGCATACCAAAATTATGGTTGCAATGGTGCAGATAAACCACCTGTATTTGTGGACAAAGCCATGTTTTGATAAACCCATTGAACAAAGTTGGATGATATAATGTATATATATATATATACGTATGTACATGACATGACATGACATGACATGACATGACATGACATGACAGAGCATCCCATCACATGGCATGACATGACATGACAGAGCAGAGCATCACATCACATGGCACGACATGACATGACAGAGCATCACATCACATCGCATGGCATGACATGACATATATATATATATATACACACATGTGTGTATATACATATGTGAATTATATATGTGTATGTAGAACCACGCAATAGTGCACGTTAAATACTTGCACATGCTGATATGTTTACAAGAATCTGGTGAGGTTTGGGTTTCGTCCACTTCAGATTGCTTCAGGATTTGCTTAGAATATACGTGCGGCACAGGTTTTTTTCGGATACCCTGGATCCACAGGTTCAAGAAACTTCAAATTTGGAGCCCAATTACCCTCTGGTAATTTAACGTAGCTATTGAAAATGACCATTAATAGTGGATTTTCCCATTGAAAATGGTGATTTTTATGTTAGTTTACCAGAGGGTAATTTGCTGTACATAGCCCATGATTTTTCAGAACACATCAGAAACTTTGAAAATCTCGAGGGCTGGCACAACTTTTTGTGGGAAAAAAAATGGGGGAGTGAAGCATCCAAGTGGTGTGACCCAACTCGTCGTTACCCTGAGGACGAGCAGGTGGATCCGTGTTGCAAAGATCACAACCTCCAGCCACCCGACCAATGGCTGGGAAGTGGTGGGGAGTGAAGCATCCGTTCTGGGGCCCGGGGGAGGATTCCGGGGGTCGAGAATTTGAGTATTTTGGGTTGGTGGAAGGTCGAAAGGTTGCCTGGTCACCAAAAGCCTGCCACAGATATGCAAAATTGTCTCTGTTCTGTGGTTAGATTCACTGGTCAATCTTAAAAAAGTACTCTACTGATCTGTACTATATATCTACTGTTTCGATGCAACAAGAACGCTTCCTGAGTGCTGGTTCCTGAGTGCCATGAAAAGGCCGATACTCGCACTGCTGCTAGTGACGGATTTGATGAATTCTCGTCACGGATTTGTTAGGAACAGATTGCTGAGCATCAAAATCATACTGTACCTTACCCTCTGGTTATGTCAAAATAGCTATTGAAAATGACCATTTGTAGTGGATTTACCCATTAAAAATGGTGGTTTTCCATCGTTTTTTGTTAACGTTTACCAGAGGGCAACTGTGTTCAAAAAAAAAATATGGCCTACCATCGTGGTTGGTGGTGCTATCTCCATCCCAAAAAGCGCACCAGCACCAAGTGTGTGGTCTTCTTCGCCCAGGACGCCCCTGATGTTTGCGGCAAAATGTGGGAGCCTGGAGTGTGTTGGAGCTCTCAGACACCAAAAACGAGCAGTGGCCCCGTGGAATCTTGATGAATCTTGTGAATCGACACCGGAGATCATCGTATTCAAAATACATCAAACCATATACGGGTTGGTGGTTTGGAACGGTTTAGTATGGGATAATGATGGTTAATGATGGTTAATGGTTAATAATCACTGCTTGGTGGTTTGGAACAGGAATGGATTATGGCTTTCCATATATTGGGAATTGAAAAAACCAACTGACAAAATCATGTTTTTCAGAGGGGTAGGTATACCACCAACCAGATATACAATACAGTTTAATAGAAGCCCAAAACACGAAAAAAAGAATGAACATACCCTCTGGTAAACTAACATAACTATGGAAAATCACCATCTTTAATGGGAAAACTCACTATAAATGGCAATTTTCAATAGCTATGTTAAATTACCAGAGGGTATCCCCCATCTCAGAACCCATCGCTGCAACCTCTACGTTTTTTTTGCGTCGCTCTAGGTGGAATACTTGATGGATCTGGGCGCAGACGTGGCTGCTGTGGACCGAAACAAGGACGGTCCAAGATGTTTTCAGTATACTGTAGCAACCCTCAAAAAATATCAAAAAAATAGAAACATAAATTGGATTCCTCCAAAGATAGTTGAAAATGAATGAAAATGACGCGTCTACGTTTTTGAGATTACCCATTTCATTCCCATTTCAATGGGGGTTTGCTTAGGAGTTCATGGAAATTAGAACCCCATTTATGGGGAGGAGAGTAGCAGCAACACAAAATGGGACACACTGGCTGAGTACTCACTAAAAGATCTTTGTGGCCTTGCTGTGAAGATTCCATGTATTGATCTAGTGGAAGAATTGAGCAAAGTGGAAGCTCGGGAAACTATGGTTTCTACCTGTAAAAAAAAGTAGTTTCTGGAATTGGTGTCCCTGAAACATCCTTACACCAATTCCAGGATTTCCTGGATAGAGAGGTATGGGTATGGCTCAAAAACTATTGCTGTAACCCACCCACAATGCATGGTCAAAAACTGACCAATGATGTGGGTATCCAGCTGGGTTTGTCATGGTGTGTAGGCTGTACTGTATGGTGTTGACTATTTTTTTCCTAAATCCCGTTTTAGAAAATAAATTTGTCTCTCTCAAAATGGGGATTTCCATAAATGGCGATACCCCCGAATGGATGGTTTATGGTGGAAAATCCTATAAAAATTGATGATTTAGGGGTACCCCCATTTCAGGAAACCTCCAAACGGCCAGTACTTCCACGCAAATCCACCACACTCAGAGGACACGGCCTACGATTTGGCTTTCCGGGAGCACGGCCACAGGTTCCATGCAAAGCGGATATGGAAGTGTTGGGAGTGGTAAAACCATCTTAGAAACCATGTAAAACCCATTAAAAAAAAGCAAAATAGAAAGTGGTTTAATTGATTTTAATTTAATTGATTTTAACCGTTTGCGATTTGCTGCAAGTTGCCAGAGAATATACAAAATCTCCCAACTCCGTTGACTTCACAGGCAGCCTGAGCATCCCGTTTTGCTCTTCTTCCAATCGGCTCCTTGGCTCAATTTTTCCCAATTGTTGGATCATGTTTGGAGATACCATTAGATGTATATATATAGATATACACACCAACAATTGGGATTATACCAATCATCTAGATTCCAATAGATATCTATATATTATATCTCCCAATTGGTATCTATATATACACACCAACCATTTAGATTTAGATATGTATATATATATATACACATATACACTATGAGTATGTATGAGTCATAGTGGCATTACTGATCACATGCGTTGTTAGTCACATATGATCATTGTGATTGTTGGATCACGTTTGAAATCGCAATATGAGAAACCCATAGAAACCATAAAGCTGCCATTTGGTGATAGTTTCCAGTACCCATTTACCCTCTGGTAAACTAACTTAGCTATGGAAAATGACCCAGTGGAAATAGTTGATTTACCCAGCTGGAAAATGGTGATTTATTTTTCCATAGTTTTTGTTAACGTTTACCAGAGGGTATGGATAATATTGGATATAAAAATGGTGAATTTGGGGTTGGTTTATGGTTTTGGGTTTACCACATGCATTGGTTTATCATAATCAGTGGGATTCTCGATCAGCGCGAAAGCGCTCAGGTGCAAGCGCCCCCCTGAACGGATGAGGTATCTCAGTGCTGGTCGATGTGGTGGGGTTGATCTCCGACGGTTGAAAAAAACAGAGGAATCGTAAAGAATCATGAGATTTAAAGCATTCTGTAAACTAGGTGGTAGATGATTAACAAAATTTAACAAATACTAAAAATTTGCTGGGTGTATTTTCCTAAGAAATAAACCATCCATTTTGGGGTACCTCCGTTTAAGGAAACCCCCAAATGTCAATACCAAATTACCAGAATCGTACATGTCACCAGCATTCTGGGAATCTGACTTTGGAATTCGGTCCAAAATTCGGGATGCCGCATCTTGGTGAGTTCTCGGTTGACGTCGTCGTCGGCAAACTCATTGCCCGTGGGGAAACCTTCCACTTTGCCCTTCGAACGAGATCTAATGGGGCAGTTCCAAAAACTTCAATTGGTTGATGATCTACATCTATAAATATATGATAATCTAATTATGTATATAATTTATATAATATATTTATTTATATACGTGTATACTGTATATGTCTTAGATATTCTTCGATGTATTTGTCTAGGAATCACCACGATTCCGATCCAAAAAACGAACGGCGCTCCCACGATTCCGATGAGGTCTTTTGCGGCGAGAAAAGAACGAGACGAGCTTTCTATGGCTTGGATATATACACAGATATGGGTATGGGTCAATACCTATAGATATATTTTTAGTGGGATGAACATCCATTTACCAGCTATTTTGGGGTTCACTAGGTACCAGGTTTTGACCCATCCCCATATAGTATTTGTAGAAATTGGATCTGTTACAAATACTAGAAATACTGTATATATCTGTGTATAGTCAGCTTTCTGAAACGGCAGGCTTCGTGGCTTTTTTCAGAAAGGTACCAGGCTTCCGAGGTGTTGTACCACCATGGACCTCCCAGTAACAAGATCTGTCGACTTGGAAGGCCTCTACCGCTAGATGAAAATGCATATGTTTCATCAAATTCTAGCACTTAGCACGCACGTGTATATTTTTTCATACATTGCAGGTGTAGATATATGTATATTATTGTATATTGATGTATGTACAATTCTACTCTTTGAAAGGGAATTCTACATATTGACGTATAATATGTATATACTTGTGCATACATATAGATATGCATGTGCATAGGCATATACGTCTATATCTACGCATGCGCATGCGCATTCCCATATGCATACACATTCACATTCACATACACATACATATACTTATGCATATACATATTATATATATATATATATATACATGTAAGAATATGTCCAAACTGACATGGTGTTTTTGCAGAAACACGGCTCTACTCAGCATTCCTCAGATCTAATTCCATTGTAGTTCAAGAGAAGCATCCATATTCAGGTTTCACAGGACGCCAATACAACAAATTATAAGAATCAACCATGTTGCGGATGCTGGTTGTTACCGCCCATTGAGAACCCCCACTGAACTGGACCTTGAACCAAACATACCAGAATATATCAGAATCATTGGGAATCATTTTTCATCGAAAACCAATGGACTTTCCATGACTAAGGCTCTCTGGTAGCAATCGAAACAGCATCTACACATAGGGTTTAACCATAATTGCCACATGTTCGCTTGCTTTTCGCTGCAAATTCTGAGGACCAAGGGACATAGGAATAAAACTAACCTAGGGCGCAAACGGGGAAGGTGTTAGCGAGGATCATGTAGCTGTTACAAGTACGCCTCTGTCACGAAGTCTTCGGATTATGAGCCAAGACGCAAGAATCACTAGACAATGCCAATCCAGACCTCAAAGGATAAACGGTATCTAAAATTTGGGGAAGGACTTTTGCTGTTCCTCTACAACATCCTGAAACAGCGTGGTTTCAGATGTAGTGATTTTCCATAAGACTTACCATCCATCTACCACCACATTTGCCATCATTTGCCACCCACAACTGGCAGCTTGAGCATTGGCATTTTCAGCGACGCCATGTCGCAGTTGCCACGTCGTTCAAAGGGAGGCGATCGAACTTTTCTTGTCGTTGATCTGGGACCCAAAATGGGGAGGACCCAATACAAAACCATTACTGCTTGGTGGTTTGGAACATGTTTGTTTTTCCATACATATACGAAATAATCATCCCAACTGACTTTCATTAATTTTTCAGAGGGGTGGCTCAACCACCAACCAGACAAAATGGTATGTTAATGTATATTATGGTTATGCCACATTTATATAAGGGTGTGTTGATGAGCAGTGGACCTCTCGTGGTGGCTTTATGGTTAGACGGTTAGACGGTTAGACGGTTAGACGGTTAGGAACCAAGCTGCAGGTGCTGTCTTGCTGGCCATGGCTCTGTTGTGGCCTCAAAGATCGTGAAGGCTACGATGAGTCGAGAGGATTCTGAAGAGCCAGTGGTGGCGATAATTAAATATTGAAACTATGAACAAAAGCCAACTTGGAGACAAAAATCATGAAACATCATCAAACATTGTTATTTTGGAGTGACTAAGGGGGCTTTGAGGTCCTTTATAACTGTGTTTCTTGGACACACGCTCTCCAATCGCCCTCCATCTCGAGGCTTTTCAGCAGCTGGGCCTTTGTTGGCACAGGCGCTCAAGTCTTTACCTTGCAAGGGATTTGAGGATATCGGGGTGTCCTAAAATATTTTGGTACCCCAATAGCTGGATGCTTTATTTACATGGAAAAGCCCATGAAAATGAGTTTATTTCATTAAAAATCCACAAAAATCCCCATCTATCAATGCATGATTTAGGGGTTACCCCCATTTTAAGAAACCCTCATATGGGTGTATGGAGGGGAACTGATCAGGATTGGATCCTGATCATCAGATGGTACCATCAGAGGAATTGCCAAAAGAACTACAGCAGTATGTAATATGATCATGTATGATGTGTATACATCATTATACATCTATACATATCTATACACATCTACAGTCATCTATATACACCTATGTACATCTATACACATCTATAGACGTCTATAATTACACATCTATACGCATCTATACACACACATACACATACGCATACATACACATACATTACATTGTACGTTACATTGCATTACGTTGCGTTGCATTGCGCTGCATTGCATTGCATTACAGTATATTACATTACATTGCACCGCGTTGCATTGCTTGCATTGCATTACATTGCAATATATTGCAATACAATACAATACAATAAGATACAATGCAAATATAAGCACTACGTACAAGACGGATATATATATATATATATACGATTATATATATACGATTATATATATATACGATTATATATATATACGATAATATATATATATACGATTATATATATATATACGATTTTATATATATATACGATTATATATATATACGATTATATATATATATATATACGATTATATATATATACGATTATATATATATTCATATAATATCTACATTCTCTAAACATAATTAGATCTACAGCAATGGCGATAAGCGCAGGCTCCACAAGGTGCTCCAGGCGCTCGCCCAGTTGGCACGTGTCGCAGCACGCGCAGGACCTCGATTGGTTGTGGGGCTATCTATAGGATTCTATAGGGATATGTGATAACTCAGCAGTATGATAGTGGAATAGATACATATACATATACATATCCATATCCATATACATACACATACACATACACATACATAACAGACAGACATACAGACATGCATACATGCATACATGCATACATGCATCCATCCATACATGCATGCATGCATGCATACGTATGTGATCGTATATGTATATTGTGTAGTTTTATTGGCCATCATGGTTTCGTTGAAGAGATGTAGAAAACATGGTGTTCCTTCCCGTTTGTGTTTGATGTTTTGCGGGCGCAGGAGGTGAAAATTGGGGACGAACAGGAGGTGAAGCCGAGTACAGAGGCATGCAAGCAGGGTGGTCATGTGCCATGGAAGGGTAATGAGTTGATACCCATGTGAAACTGGTGCAATTGCTTTCAGGCATCAGGCCGTTTTGTGAAAACCCTCGCGAGTTTGCGAGAAACTTTTAGTTTGGAAGTTTGGACCATGTTTTCTGCAAATTTTGTTCCACATGTGCATCAAATGCTTCTCCCCCGCTGGTAGAAAGGGTGTCCGGGCGTCCGGGAGATCCCAGAAAACGTAAACGAGAATGATGACAAGGTATGAAAATGTGATATGTTCTTGATAAGTTCTTGAAATGTTAATCTGAATCAAAAAATTGATCGAAATGGGATTGTCTGAAATTGTGCATCCCCTAAAAATACCATGGTTTATGATGGTTTATGATGGTTTATGTAGTTGTCCAAAACCAAATGTCTAAAATCATCCAAATGTTCAAAATAGATCAACATAGTTGCTGGTTTTTTTGCTGAAAGGTCACCGTCACAATTATCCGCTTAGTTCCAAGATACCATGGTAACCATAACGACCGAACGACCTACGATATATTATAAGTCAACAGGTGAAGGAGAGTGCGAAAGACCTGGAAGCCAAAGAGGAGCCGGAAACTGCGAAAGTTTTCCGTGTCCGTTTCGCCGTGATGGTGAATGATATAATTGTTTAATGCGTAACCAATACTCATGGGGTAATGGGTATATCTTGTGGGATAAAACGAAAAAAAACATCAATTTGATATTTCATAGCGGATATTAGAGGATTTAGCCAAGAAAAATATGGTATAATTTGGATTAATTTGGAATATCATGGGAACATAATGTGGATGGATGTATGACGAACATTGCGAACATTAACCAACTATATGGGATATTTGGATTTCTATGAAATGCTCTGGGTTGCCCTTTGACCGATAAAGCTTTTCGGTTTTTCAGAGGTCCTTCCGACCGGAAGATACATGGAAAGTGGAAGCAGGATAGGATATTGATCTATTAGATATAGACTGTATTGAATAATGACCAATTGCACAGAATACAGTCTATCTAGTATGAATTAACTCTATATTTGACGATGCATGGTCACGCATGCTCAGTAGCAGTGAAGAGTTGAATTTAAAGATGTCAGAGTACGCCTCATGCATGCTAGATACTGTCACCTTAAGTTTAGACGCACCCTCTGAGTTTGTCAGAAGCTTGCTTCGTGGGTGTGAAGGAAAGTTCATGGAGTCTCAAAGTTGCTGGGGAGCATGTACGTTCGTGTACGCTCTTATGTCATAGTAGCGTTTTGCAGCAGATTAAAACATGCATGCAGCTGCATTCATCTTTTTCTTTCACATGACATCAAGCAGGGAAGGGTCTGATTTATTCCAAGGCAGTCTTTCGGCCAGGAGTCGGAGAAAACTGTGCAGAAGAAGGAAGAGAGTCCGGAACCTCTCAGTAACAGAACAGGACTCGAACGCAGTGTTCTTGCTGAAACTAAGCCCAGGGCGAAAAAGGTTCAAAAGCACATCGTGTGTTCAGGATCTGCCTATTTTCCAATTATCTATGGATATAAGTTGGAGGGTATAAGACGGGATAACCCAAGTTACAAGCTCAGGAAAACCAAGCTTTTGGTGGCCCCACGTTCTGTCGTAAATCGGCCTAAGAATTTTGGCCTCAAATTTTTGCAGCTCGGATTATCGAGTGATGAGCAGCCCAGCATTTGGATTCGATTTTTTTTGGTCCGTACACCACCAATGTTGTGCTGAAATCGCCAGTGGTTGTTGTGGTTGTTGTTGTTGTTGTTAAATCTTCAAATCTTCAAATCTTCAAATCTTCTTGTATAAGTTGATTTCTTTGCTGAAAATCCTAGAGAAAAAAGTTTTCCTTATAGATTTTGTGAGGTTTTGTGAGTCAAATCCCCATGTGTTGTCTGTTAAATCCCCATCAAAGCGCTGGTTCAGCCGATCCAACGAGGCTCTGCCGCTTTAGCCAAAGAGGACTGGCGGCCTCTGGAGGCACGAGCTGAAAATCTTGGGCCGTGGTGGAAAAAACGACGAAGCACAACTTTTAGTGGGAGTTTCATGGGATTAAGAGGGATATACTAGAGAAAGAATGGCGGGTCTATCAACCAATGAATCTGGTCAATTGGATGTCAATGGAGATTTAACCAGATTTGAACCACAACACGGCATATGATGTGGGTATGTTAACCAATGAATCTGGGCGCTGGTTTGCGCCCAGAGGGATGGATTCTTTGCATGTTCCGTTCAACTACCAGGAACCCACCGTACCCACCTGGTATCCCACCATTTGGAGCTGGGATGATTAGCTGCCCAGCTTGGATGAGATGCCCACATCCTTGCATGCAATTTTCGTTGTTTTTGAGTACAGTCGATAGGGCCTATGATTTTTGTTGTGATGCTCCTATCTTGGCTGTTTGATGGATACCCTCTGGTAAACTAACATAACTATGGAAAATCACCATTGTTAATGGGTAAATGAACAATAAATTGCAATTTCCGATAGCTATGTTAAAAAATTACCAGATGGGTAGCTCCCCATGTTTGTTGCTGGCCAGGCTTTCTACGAGCCGACGCAAGACACTGTGGTGGGGCACCAAGCGTGGCGTAAGGGGTCTTGAAATATGTCACGGTAAACCGGTAAACCGCATATAAAGATTCAGAAAAGATCGGAAAAGGCTCAATCAACATCAATCAACCACCAGAATTGAATTTGTCAGATTTTATGCTATACCGAAGAATCGTATGTTAATATAACACCAAAAAGGATCAAAAGCTGTGAGTCCCTGGTGAGGTTTGCCACGTTTGTGCCACATTTGTCTCACACAGGGAACATCACACCGACAAGACGCTGTTGGCTCCAATATTTCGTCAATAGTTTGGTGGGTTTAGATGCCTTTACCCCAAAACAATCCAAAACATGTTACGGATATATCACATACCCTTCACATAGCCTTCACTGAGTTAGGTGTTTGTAAGAAATATCTGGTCCCAGTGCACAAATGTTCAACGTCTCGGATCATGAATCGGACCGTCGAAGCCCCTTTACCTCGCCAAGTACTACAGCTGGCTATCCGTGGCGAGTGTCTCAGTGGGTCAGACTTTACCGACATTCCCAGGGGTTGGAACATGTTGCAACCGCTGCCCAGAAAGTGTTGGCGGAAACTTGAAATATCATGAAATATCCAGAAATGCTCATCTAGAACTCTTGTCGTGCAAGTGGTTTCCCCCGTTTTGGTCCATTTGCTGGCAAGGGTTAGCAGCTAGCACCTGTAGGCTAAAATATCAGACTACCTTCCGACAATCAAACATGGCAATTAAAAATCCCCTATAAATAGAGGTGTGAATGGGAGAATCATCTATGAATGAGGTATTTTCCATTGCAGCGTTTGATTTCCAGAGGGTAGTCTCAAGAGATTCTGAAAGGTGTTTTTCACTGGAAGCCTGGTGTCACCTCGAGCGAACTGGACAGCACCACATATCTACATGGACTCTTGACAACCTGGAGTGGTTTTCAGTATGTACATATACATTTAGGATAATCTAATCATTTATCTTCACCCGGATTCATAAACCTCGCTCTTGTATTGGGCTACGTGTCGTTTTGTAGCAAATGAAATCACTTTTTTGGGGTATTCGGTATTCAGGAAGACCCCCGCCCCTCTGTTATAAGTTGGTTTATCACCCCAATGAACGAGGCATCCACCAGGAAAAATCCAATCAGCCTGGTGAAATACACCAACCGTCACCTATCCCAAATAGATTAAATTTTCACATCAATCCCAATATCATAACTGGTTGGTGGTTTGGATTTTGTTTGATTTTTCCATCTATTGGGAATAGTAACCCCAACTGAGTTTCATAGTTTTCAGATGGGTGGCTCGACCAACCAGTCATAAACTAACATTTGACATTTAGTTAAAATAAAAACACATACTGTAGATACCCTCTGGTAAATTAAATTTAAATTAATAGTTTGCTCTGGCAAATCACCATTCTGAAACGGATCAGTCACTGATCAAACACAAACGGACCATTCTTACAATCTGTGAAATCACGAGACTTGTTGAATAATTTTCTCATGGTTACATGGTTCGGGATAAGTGAAGACAAATGCCATAGGTAACAAAAATATAACAACAATATGCAGTTTTCTCTTAGCGGCTTTAGCATACAAAATCCACCTAGGTAATTACTATAGGTCATCTAGGTAATAATTACCACTGGTAAAAAATTACTGTGAGAACCTCAACAATAAACCTACAATTATTGGGGATGATGGTTGCCACCATTCATAGTGTTTTTGGGGTGATTCATTATTCATAGAATTGGATGATGGGAAAATTTACAGGAAACCCCTATATTTGATGGTAAAAACCATGGTTTCCTGTAAATTTTCCCTTAAACCAATCCAATGAATTATTAGACATGATTGGGTTTGCCACATTACTCAGTTTTCGCATGGTGTATACCATAGGTGATATACCTAGACCTGTTACCATCGGTAGGTCGGATTCGGGGAATCAACCCCAAGTGAAGGCCTTATTTTTTTGGTTGGTGACTGAAATTAATTATATTTAATTATAATTTACACAGATATACAACTGGAATATATCATCTATATATCATTATATATCATATTATATATCTGGGTAAATTATAACGACCTCACTACGACCTCACTGGAAATCATGGTTAGTAAGGGAAATCATCCCCAAATGGCCTTAATTCAGGTTAGTGAAATATTATAATATAATTTACCCAGATATATATATATATATATAGATATATATATATATATCACCAGATATCATAGGTATCCATAGGTCCCAAAAAGTACGACATCCCGACCTCTAAAAATGGGTCGAGTCATTGAGGCCGGCGGCCTGGTCCTGGGCGGTGGTGCATTGCTGCTTGTTCAAGGTGCTGGTGTGAAACCAATCTTGGAGAAATGCTGGTTTTTCTCGGCAAGTAATTTGTGGGAAATGGATGAACATGTGTGATTTTAACCACCAGAATTGGGAAAACATATTGGCTTCCGGGTTTTTTATGATTGGTATTGTTACCAATGATCTGGATTTTGATGGGATTTATTGATCAATGAATCCGTTAAAAGCTTCAAGTAGTACGTCTTTGGTCATCACAGTAGACGTGTAGCATTGTAGTGAATAGGGAAAATGATGAGAAACAACATCAATTCTAGTGTTTGATGGATGGGGTTCCAACTTTTGAGACCCCCTTTGCAAGGCCCAGAAGGGGATCATTCGGCAGATGTGAGTGCAGCGTCCCGAAGGTCTCAATGCTGAATACTTTATCCTGGTTTTCGTCATTGTTTGGCGCCTCAGCAGGCTGAAGATATATCCGGAATGGGGTCCCTAAAAGAAAGGAACTGTTAATCGTTAAGGCTGTTAAGGGTCAAAGTGGTCCCTTTCAAATCGTCATTTTTTGAGGTGAAATGCTGGATTCCGCTGGAATCCAAACATCCTTTGCTCTTGACTGATGGAGCTAGAGGAAGGTTGAAACCTTGTCATCTCCTTGATTTGATTTACTTGAACATAAGCAAACAAGCAACAAATTGGATGGTTCGATGGGAGAGTTTTTTCAAACAAGGATTTAAAAAAAAAAAACAAGGTGGAGTTACATAAGTTTCATATGTCCCTTCTGATTCAACTCCTCCATTGTTCAAGGATGTGCCCCCACTACTTACTTGTTTGACTCATGATTGCTACATCCCATGCATGGGCGTAATCCTATCTACACTCTATAAATAAGTTACTAACCATGATGCTTAGCTACATAGCAATTGGATTTGTCCAAAATAGGATACAGTACATACCCGTAAAAAATCATTGCTAAAAACATATTTCCCTATTGCTTAATGGCCATACACAGGATGTAAATCCCCAAATTCCGCACAAAACCTAATACTTTGTTGTGTTATATTGTTTTGTGTGTGTATTAGATAATCTTACAATCATATAATCATATATATGATTGTCTAATATTAGATGATTAGATGATTATTACGATCATCTATATATTATATAGATATTACTCATTTATTATTGGATCAATAATTATACAATCATATTGTAGATGATTATCCCTAATATAGATGATTATATAGATAAATTATCATATATAGATGATTATAGATGTACATATCCCCATCAATATCGTACCCAGGTGGTCATCGCGTTCGGCTTTTTCGTGGCACTTCTGGGGTCAGCAAGCTCAGTCGCCAAGGGCACTCAAAATATGATGAAAATTGATGATTTCCCCATGAAAGTTGCTGATTTCCCTGAAGAACGAGGAATTCCGTGGATTTCTGGGTTCAGTCACGAAAATATGATGTTTTCCAGGATATTTCGTGGGATATGATGGGAAATCTTCTGGGGGGAAGATTTTATGGGAACCAATGGAATAGCAAACATGATATGAGGTATTTCATGGTGGATGTTCGAAACATTCTATGTTGCCCGTTTCGGGAGCATGTTTGATCTCAATGGAGCTCAGCGGGAGGGACATCTTTGCGCATCACCGTCAGATGTCAGGAAAATCAAGAAACAACATATCCACCATCATAGGATCATAGGTAATGCATGGTAATGCGTCACTCACGGGAAGTCCAAACCTTCACAGCAAAACTTCGAATCCTAGTGATCTCCAAATGGAAATGGGAAATGCAACATGAGAACGTCACCGGCAAGAACCCGAATAAATGTTGGAGTGTTCATAGATTGTTTGCACCAAAAACATGTGATCTGTTCACGAGCAGAGGACCATCCTAGTTTTGGCCAGTTGGACATACCTAGCGGTATGTAGAGGTTCTTTCTGAAATTGCAATATCGCCGACTGCGGCAAAGAATGAGATCGTTTGGAGTCAAAGTGGGTAGACCCAACCCAGTTGGACCTGTCCAGAATCGCGAGGCTGAAAGCAATCACTCCAGAGAAGAACGAGCCCAGGCCTCAAGGCCTTAAGCCCCGGTGCTGATGATGGCTAGGTGGCTTGGTGACCTCAAACGTCACTGGCATGCCGTCCCTCTACGCGCAAAGACTGTTACAGTATCGCTGTAGTGATTGTCATTATCATTATTATCATGTTGTGACTACAGTATTGTTCCTGGAGTATCATAGTTTGCTGATATTTGCTGTTATTGTTGGAAAGTTGAAGGTGCCATAAAGTTGCAGAAGAGCTGTTGCAGACTGATGCAAGCTGCAAGCTATGATAGCTATGACCCATCGCAAGGATGCAGGCGTTACTGAAGATTCAGTCTTGTGGCCGCTGGATCTCGGTCAAGGTTTGGTTCACCCAAAAAGACGGATGGTTTATGACTGTAAAAATGACGGTTTCACAATGTTTCACATTTTTTCAGCTACGCTCTGGGGGGTTGGGATGATTTGGTGGTTTCCAACCATCCCAAATTGGAGCGGTGGGTTGCCCAGGTCGGATGCCTGATGGGCACGAAGTGAAAAAGCCGTGAGGAAAGTGAAAAAGATTCCCATTTCGACCGAGAGGTTTTGCCATTTCGACCCATAGCCTCAAGAATATCACAACCATGTAATGTTATGTTTTGTTTTGTTATGTTATGTATGTAATAGTAATTTGGTTGGGCAGAATGCCTTCCCCATTGGCTCTATGATATGATATCATATGAGAAGAATATACATATCATATACGTATGCACGTGTATATGCACAAAGATACGTATACCTGTACATAACCATATAACAGTCACTAAACTGCACTAGCTACAGACTGCTACAGTTGCATCCTACTGGGATACACAGAGCCATGTAGGTCGGGATTGCTGTGGCACGGAAGTAAGCGACTGGGATACACAGCCAGCTTGACAGTAACACGTTCGAGAGGCCTTACTAGGCATTTTTCGGATGTCCGCAGCTGTTTTGACAAGACCTTTGACATACATTTTGAAATTGCTTGAGCGGGCGTTTTCAGCTCTTCATTTGTGCCTTGCTTTAGCACTGCGGTGGCTTTTTGTGCTTGCCGTTGCACTGTCTCAGCTATCAAGAGAACGGGATGAACGGATGGATTTGGTTCAAACTTTGATACAATATTTGAGAGGATGAACATCCACCAGCTAGGTTGATACTATTTGATACTCATCTTTGGACACCAGTGCTTTGATCCAGAGTTTTCTTTCATTGATATCTTGTGAAATGATTCGATACTCCCTTTGGTTGAAAAGACTTTCTATTCACCAACGCGGATGACCGTCATGGTGGGCCAAAAAAACGAGTCTTTTCTCACGTGGATATAGCATCCATGTACTGCGAAGTGAAAACATACCTGGACACTGTTGAAGCTGCCTCGCCGCTGATTTTCTTTGCAGGACAAGAGGCATAGTTGATGACGACCCAAAAAATAGGATACTTCCTGATACTACCTAGGTCCCAAAATGATTTGCGTTTCGGGCAGGGGATTTTGATGCTAAGGTGCTGCAAAAATACGATGTCAGCCAGAAACAGATTTTCAAGAGGCACCTTGGAGAAATGCCAGGCTTACAGGTCAGGGACTGGAGAGATTTGGTAAATGTGCCATTTGGGAGTCTTGTAGCAACACATGCATTGATGGCTGAGCCATGTTTGAGTCAGGCTACACGGGTGCATGATGGTGCATGTGAATGAACAGCCCTGGACATGATACGAATTATCGATACCTCGAAAAGTGATCCCTTCAGATTCTGACATGGACTAAAATACCAGCGCTCACTCAGCCCCTTTGGGGTCTCTGTTTCGTGGTTGACACAAACAATTTAAACCCTTGGTTCATGTAGGGTCCTAGACATCATGTTTCTGGTATCCGGTAACTGGAGTAAATCATGGGTATCGTGTAGCCTGGAACTAAACAACACCCCGCAGGGTTTTCGTTGAGAATAGGGTACCATTTGCTCAAGGTTGGAATTTAAAAAGGTACCGAATCCATCCGAATCCACGATTCAAGTAAACGTCTTAGCCAATTTTCATCAATGTTCATCAATCTTCTACATCTCTATGGCTGAGGTAATTTCGAAGACCTCGCGATGGAGCAGAGGCGAGGTACCCAGGTGGATTGCTTCAGCAGTAGTGGCTAAAACATGATCGGGGGATAAGAATGAGGGGGTTAACCATCTAAATTAGGGATGTTAATGGATATAGGATATATATAGGATATATTGCCAATGTTTATCTATGTTTATCTATGTTTATCTGATTGGGGGTTGCAAATATGTATCGTTTTTCAACCATAGTTGGGATGATTGGTTGAGATGACCAATATTCTTGGGATGGGTTGAAACGTGTTCGATGCAACCGTGGCGTTGCTCCGCGCCGGAATTGTGGAAGGGTTGCATATTTTTGAAATGCCATGTCCGTGGACTTTCGATATGTATGTGATCCATCATCATCATCCTCCTTATCGTCATCATCGTCATAATCTTCATCATCATCATCATCATCATCACCACCCCTTATGAAGATAAGTTGATGCTATTATCAGATTCAGCATATTTGTCAAAGGGGGCGGTGGATTTGTTGATCCCTTATGAAGATAAGTTGATGTTCTTCCTTACTCAGCATATTTGTCAGATGGGGTGGCGGAGGACGGATGTTGATCTCTTATGAAGATAAGTGGGTGTGATTACCCCATTGAACATATTTGTCATAGGGGTGGCGGATCTATGATCCCTTATGAATAGAACACATATAAGATGATGGTATTACCCCATTCCACATGAGTTGACACTGGTGGTGGTGATGATGATGAGGAGGAGGACGACGACGATGATGATGATGATGATGCATCATACATCATGCATCATGAGTATAATGGTGGTGATGATGATGAGGACGATGGTGATGACGATGACGATGACGGTGACGGTGACGGTGACGGTGGTGGTGCTGCTGCTGCTGCTGGTGGTGGTGGTGGTGGTGGTGATGATGATGATGATGAGGAGGAGGATGAGGATGAGGATGAGGATGAGGATGAGGATGAGGATGAGAAAGAGGATGAGGATGAGGATGAGAAAGAGGATGAGGATGAGGATGATTGTAAGTGTGGGGCTAACGTCCGGGTTGGACGGAACATGTAAAAACCGTCAATGATGAAATGATGATCAACCAGTGGAATTGTCCATTATTTCCCAATGTTGAGAGAAAGCCAGGAGGAGGAATGGTCCCCATGGGGCGGCAAGGGCGGCAAGATCTGGGATCGACTTCATTGGAATTTGGAATAGATGAAGTGATGATGAATTCACCCAGCTGCACATGGGGCAAGTACCTCCAGACGTACCCATTTCATGGGCATCCAAATTTTGGATATTTTGGATATTTTGGTCTACCGATTTAGCAAGGCAACGTGTCTGGTCTGGAATGCGCTTCTGGGTAGGCTAAAAAATGACTGTCCGGAGAGGTGATAGCTGCTGATAGCATGGCCGTCATGGCCATGCCGCAGACGAAAAAAAAAAAGGGGGTTATTCGCAGTCTGAAAACCGGTTCGCAGTTGGAAAATCAAGCAGGTCTTTTGATGGGCTTCTGTGGTTTTCTAGGCGCTCTCCACTTCCAACATCGTCCAACCTTAGTTTGCAGCAGAGGTTGACCTCCTTTGATGGATGTCAACCAGGAACATCTTGAAGTTGGAACATTCACCCTCCGGTCAATGCGGGGAAAGTGTTTAACACCATGAAAACAATTACCAACATTTTTTGTATCAAGGAATATCATGCAATTCTAGAGATGTTTGCTGATCCCAGGATGCCCGAAGAAGCCATTGGAGCACAGACCCCTCTGGATTGGATGAGAGGCCTCGCGGGGCCATGTGGACCTCAGGGAAACTATGGAAAAAGGATGGTGAAGCACCAAAGTTTGGGATTGAGATGAGGAAGTGTATCTTAAAAAATGCCAAGATCTGTTAAATATAGCCTTTTCTGAAGTCTCAGACACTCATTGGCTAGATGGGCTATGCAGTTGATTCTTTGGTTAGTATGCGGTTCACAGCGCACTACACGGCTGTACGAGAATCGTCCCCCACTTATGATCAACAACTTAACTGTAAGCCAATTCTAAGCCAACTATATGTATGGTTTATCCGATTATAGCCCAATTGTTACCCACTAAATCCTCTATGGACATCCGCTGACCAGGACCAGAGCAACCGAGCTTACAGCTAGCAGTGGCCTTGGAGGGGATGAGCGAAACAGACCAGCAAATATGGTGAACCCTGCATGAAACCAGTCCTATATAATGCTACATAACATAGATAGATATATATATATATATGTGTATATATGTATTTATATGTACATCCTGTTATTATGTATATACTACTACTACTACTACTCCTACTACTACTTCTACTACTACTACTACTACTACTCCTCCTACTACTACTACTACGACTACTACGACTACTACGACTACTACGACTACTACGACTACTACTACTACTACTACTACTACCTACTACCTACTACCTACTACTACTACTACTACTACTACTACTACTACTACTACTACTATAGTACTATAGTACTATAGTACTATACTACTACTACGACGACTACTACGACTAATACGACTACTGCGACTCTAATAAACAACTATGACTACTACCACTACTGCGACTACTGCGACTACTACGACTACTACGACTACTACGACTACTACTACGACTACTACGACTACTACGACTACTACGACTACTACTGCTGCTGCTACTACTCCTGCTACTTCTGCTACTCCTGCTACTCCTGCTACTCCTGCTACTCCTGCTACTCCTGCTACTCCTGCTACTCTGCAGTAGTAGTAGCAGTAGCAGTAGCAGCAGCAGCAGCAGTAGTAGTAGTCGTAGTAGTCGTAGTAGTCGTAGTAGTAGTAGTAGTAGTATATAGTAGCAGCAGCAGCAGCAGGAGTAGTAGTAGTAGTAGTAGTAGTACGACTGTCAACTATTAATATTGCTGTTTGTTCTTTTTATCGTTATTATTATTTTTTGTCATTATTGGTTTTAGTGTTATTACTGTATTTTTGCTTGTTATCACTAACAATTATGCATACCATATTATACATGTCATATCATGTATATGTATATATATATATATCATATCATCGAAGGAAGTTTAAAAGTCAAACTTCCAAAAATATGGACAGATGAAAATGAGGTGGGAAGAGTCAGAGAAGAGAAGAGAAGAAGCAAGAAGATCAGAGACGAGAAAGAGTCAGAAGAAAGAAGATGCAGGTGCGCGAAAGTAGAAAAGTCTCAAATCACTCTGTTCTTCCAATGTTTTGGGGCTCCAGAGGGTCGAAAAGTAGGCTCGCTAAAGCGGCGGGTCCGGACCACTTTTGGAAGTTGAGATGTCGAAAAAGTGCACGCCATTGTGGCGCGAAGCACATGTCGAAGTCAAAATGCACAAAACGCACCATGTTCGGACCACTTTTGGAAGTTGCGATGTCGAAAAAGTGCACGCCGTTGTGGCGCGAAGCAAGAAAAGTGTAAAAAACTCACGGTCTCGGACCACTTTTGGAAGTTAGGATGTGGTAGGGACTCGGC